CACATGGAAATAATGGCATAGAGACAACCAATGCGGGGTGGGAAGGGCGATGCCAGAATGTGGGAAAGCTGGGAAAGAATGGGTGAAGTGGCAATGGTAAGATAGTAGTTGTAGAGGACCAATACCTATAGTTCGTTTTTTTTTCAAAAGGACGCTGGCTCCAAGTATGTTTTTCGAACAAGCACGTGTTTTAGCGAGCAAAACGAGCAAAAACTGAACCTGAGAAAATCGAACGTCGACTAATTTTAACATGTGATTTCTTTCCGACAATTTCCATATGGGCGTTTTGGAACCAGATATGAGAACAGCGGTGACGTCATGCTATCGAACATGTATTTCAATGTAACTTATGACTATCATGGACGGAACCGCTCACTCGATTATAAGCTCGGCAACAGTGAAAAACTGTTCTGCACCCAAATTCGTTGACACTTGTCCCACTGCACGGACATTTGGGTGCCTGCTGCCTCCAGTGACATCATCATAGAATGTTCATTTTTTAGAAACAATTTCCAGCTACTTACCGTGCAAAATTTGAAATCGATTATTTTTTCGGTAAGAAATTCTTGGCCAGACACTGAAGCTGCCAAAACTCACGTGAGAGCTTCGATATTGAACTTTGAGCTTGAATTGTATTGACTTGAATTGACTTGAATTGTATCGGAATAATCGGACGTGTCTTTTTGCTCCGACTTGTATAAGTGTCCATTAAGTCTTCGGCAGTCGAAACTTATGTCATTTTGTTTGTTTTTAAATGCTTTTTTCTTTGCCTATACTTTAAAGACTCAAATGTTAAAATCTTTTACGATATAGTGCTCAGAAATGTACACATTTTCGAATATTTTTCAAAGTTTCAGCACAGTGAAAACTAAAAAACTCGTTTGACTTTTTGCCGTAGTCACGTGCGCCTCAGATTAATTTGCTTCAGTCTCGAAGATTCTTTAGTCATCATTCACAGAGCTTTTATGAACCTTACCTCGGCCGAGAAGGTAATTCGACAGCGATGAACCTGCATCATGAACAGCTCCTCGTCTCAGAATGAATCGTTAGATACACAAGTTAGCCACACTCCTCGCTGCTGCAAATGCGTTACAAATCCTTGCAAAACATGCAGATGCGCGAAACAGAACAAACGCTGCACATCCTGCCGATTCGGAGACGGCTGTTCGAACTCTGCAGCGAATGACCCTCCAACCAGTGACATTGCCAACGAGATAGCCTCTCTGAAGCAGCGATGCCGACTCTTACCCTTCATCCCCAAAGGGGCACGCATCGCTGTGGCTGACGCGTTAGCCCATTGCATCAACGATGCCGTAACCCAGGGTACCGACCTCGCATGGCGTAAGCTAATGCGTTTTGGTTACTTGGCGCTTACCATCCGTGACAACAAGGGCAGCAAGAAGAGGCTATCATTAGCCACTCAAGTTCGTAATAACTTGTCTCAAGATGATTTCAACCCACCTCGCCATGCAAGTAAAAGGACAGCTCAGAACAAAAGAAATCGCCCACCTAGCACCATGGCACTATTGCGCCGCGTCTCAGAGAAGATAACAGACGGCGACCTCCGCGGTGCTCTGCGCCTCCTGGCCTCGGACGATTCTTTTGCGGTCCCAACAGATGATGTCATTAGCAAAATGCAAGAGAAACACCCGGAACCACCCGAAGATATCCGCCCTATCTCACCGCCCGACGAGGGCACAGCATCGCTAACAGCTACTGAAGCAGACGTCCTGAAGGCCATCAACTCATTTCCACCGAGCTCGAGCGCTGGACTAGACGGAGTCCGACCCGCTCACCTGCGATCTCTGATCTCCAGAACAACTGCCGAAGCCGGAGCACGCCTTCTCACAGCTTTGACGGCTCTCGTCAATCTGGCGTTATGTGGCCGCCTTCCTGAGTTTGTCTTGCCAGCATTCTTCGGCGCCTCTCTGATCGCTCTGCGTAAGAAGGACGGCGGCCTTAGACCCATTGCCGTCGGAAGCGTGTACCGCCGCATCACTGCAAAAGTAGCTGCGCACTCAGTCTCCGGACGAATCGGGGCCGAACTGAGGCCCGTGCAACTGGGCGTGGCCACAAGAAATGGATGTGAGGCGGCAGTCCATGCTGTTCGAACATACATCCAGCAGTCGGAACCCAGCGAAGACAGGATACTCGTGAAGCTGGATGTCTCAAATGCCTTTAACTCAGTGCGCAGAGACAGCATGCTGGAGGCAGTGAGAGCAAGAGCACCTGACATCTATTCTCTCGTATGGCAAGGGTACAGCCAATCTGCTCCCCTGTTCATCGGAGAGAGCCAAGTGCTGTCTAAAACCGGCATCCAGCAAGGAGACCCTCTCAGCTCTTTGCTGTTCTCGCTGGCCATAGACACCGCCACCAAAGCAGCAGATGCAGACATCAACGTCTGGTACTTGGACGACGGCACTCTGGCTGGTCCGCTGCCAAAAGTGCTCGCCAGCATTGAGCGCGTCAAAGAGAACTTTGAGAAGGCTGGCCTGCGCTTCAACGGTGCGAAATGCGAATGCACCTTCCTGGGAAAGCAAGGGGCCCAGCAAAAACAGAACATCTTGGATGATTTGCACGGCATCCTCCCTGACGCTCATGAAGTCTGCCTGGATGACCTGGAACTGCTCGGCGCACCAATGAATGACTCTCAAACACGACACAGACTCCTACTCGGCAAGCAGGAGATTGAGAAACTAGTACGGCGTCTCAGAAGCATGGAAGAGCCCCACCAATCCTTCTTCTTGCTTAAGAACTATGTCTCTATGCCTCGCCTACTCTACCTTTTGAGAAGTTCCCCAGCCCACAGACACATTGACTTGCTTTCTGGGATCGACGAGGTCGTGAGGAAGGGTCTAGAGGCGATCACCAACGTTCAGATGCGCGACGACGCCTGGCGACAGGCCACACTGCCTGTCAGTCTTGGCGGGCTTGGTGTGAGGATGACCTCCGATCTAGCCCTCCCCGCTCACCTGGCATCGCATGTCGCATCTGCGGCCATGGTGGCAGCCATCAATGCAACTACCTCAGCTGACTTCAACGAGACCACACGGCGTCTGATCAGTGAGTGGCAAAACCGCACCGGTCTAACACCGCCAGACGACGAAAAGCGGCACCTTCAACGCGAATGGGACCGCTCAGAGGCCAAGTCTATCAGCACGCACCTGCTAGACAGCAGCACCGATAAGGTGTGCCAAGCTAGACTCCGAGCCGCCGGACAGCCACACTCAGGCGCCTGGCTCAACGCCTACCCGTCACCAAGTGTAGGCACCCTGATTGAGCCTGACACCTTGCGGACAGCAATCGCTCTGCGGATTGGCGCTGAGCTCTGCGCTCCCCATCGCTGCCGCTGCGGGGCCGACATTGATGAGCGTGGTCTGCACGGTCTCAGCTGCCAGTTAACCCTCGCCCATGTAGGGGGGGGGGGTTGGTGCAACCCCCCCCCCTGAGGTTTTTCGGAAATAGTGCAAAAACGGCGGCGCGCAGCGCCGCCAAATTTTGGGTACCTTATGGGGCAAACCTTGCGCATCTTTTGATAAAAAAAATTTGACCGGGTCATGTCAGGTCACGGAGTTATGACGTCACAAAGGGAACAGCCTCCGGCCGGATTTTCACAAACTGAGTGCCAACGCCCGAGGTTTCCTGCCGGTGGTACGGACATCGGTTGATGGATCGTGATGAAACTTCCCATGCATGTTGGGGCAAGTATTGGCTATCATATGGTATAAGAAACTTGACCGGGTCAGGTCAGGTCACGGAGCTATGACGTCACAAGAGGAACAGCGTCCGGTACTATTTTTGAAAAGCGCCCGAACCACTATTTTGCTAATTCTTGTCACCTCAATGGGAATATGCAGCAATATTAGCTTCTATAGGGAGCAAATGGACATCCCAAATCCAAAAATACAATCAGATTTCAAAAATTTAAATTTTGATTTTTCGAATTTCTGCCGCCGACTGTGACCTTGCCGACTTCCGGCGCTCCCAACGCGCCATTTTTAGAGCTAGGGAAACGAAATACATACCAAACGATAGAGAATTGATCAAGGAACACGATAGTGAAGGTTTCAAGTCGATATCTCCCACCGTTTTGCCGCAATCGCCGCGGAAAATTTGAAAAAGTCTATTTTTCCGAAAATTTGACCTTTGACCGGTCAAAAGTAGGTCAAATGTTGACCTAGGACCAAAAAATATACCACCAATCGCGAGATCTCGGCGAGAGCAATCCGTTGGTCTTTTCCGCTAAGCTCTACGACGCTCCGTTTTCAAACGCCAAGGGGGGGGTCGCACCAACCCCCCCCCTGCATGGGCGAAGGTGGCAGATCGCCGTTTACGGGCGAGGGTTAAGCGCCGGTCGACTACCCCGCCACGCAGAGCTCAATAACATTATCAAACGTGGCCTCGCTGCCGCCGGCCTTCCAGCAGTCCTAGAACCTGCCGGCTTGGATCGCGGCGACGGACGCCGTCCCGATGGCATCACAACCTTCCCTTACTCAGAGGGGAAATGCCTCATTTGGGATGCAACGTGCGTCGACACTTTCAGTGCCTCCTCAGTATCCGCATGCGCATCGCGCGCGAGTGCCGCAGCCACTGCTGCCGAAGGACGCAAACGTCGACGCTACGCTGACTTAAGTCGGCGGTACCTGTTCCAAACAGTCGCCGTCGAGACATCTGGTGCTTTTGGCACTGATAGTCTTCACTTCTTAAGAGAACTCGGTCAGCGGATCGTTCAGACAACCGGCGATCGGCGAGACATGGAACACTTAATGCAGCGCATATCGGTGGCAGTGGCACGTGGCAACGCGGCTGCTGTGCGACTGGCAGCAGCTGACGACACGTCAACGCTTCGACGAGTCCATGCGCAGCCTTCCTGCACTGCTGAGTCGTCACCATGCAGCCAAGAACCAGATAGCGATGAAAACGCTGGAAGGCAGGCATCTGACGTCGACTCAAGTCATTCCCTCTCAAAGTCGAGCCAAGGTGGATCTACATTGGGGACCATGCACCCGTCCGAGGCCAAGGGTTCGCGACTGTCGCGCTCGAAGGAGCGGGCGCCCAGCTGCCCGGACCGCGCTGACAGGGAGAACACGAAGCTGCTGCAGGTGGCTGGCGTCGGCCCGCGCCGGTTCTACGGTGACTCGGCCGAAGCCGGCGGCTCGCTGTCCGCCGCCAGCCCACAGATGCGGCCGCCGCCGTCGCTGCGCAAGTCCGGCGAGGGCGACAAGAACCCGCAGCTGCACTGTGGCAAGGCGCAGGCGGCCAGCCGCGGCCTGCAGCTAGTCCCGGCCATCCGGCCGCTCGACTCCGACAATGATGGCAAGGACCCTTTGTATATCGGCCTACCCAACTACGGGAACTCCTGCTATCAGAACGCCACCCTGCAGTCGCTGCTGGGCCTGCGACCGTTCCTCAGTGAGATGATTTCCCTGATCTCGGGCCTGGACGAGAGCGGCCAGTGCCGCACGCTGCGTGCCGTCGCCAAACTGATGGTGCTGCGCCAGAAGGCACTCAGCAAATCAGTCTCTAGCCATCTCAACGATCTGCGCGACGTGTTCGCCGACATCGACCCGGCGTTCAGAGGTACCGAGATGCAGGACGCCAATGAGTTCTTGCTGCGCCTGCTAGACACTATGAAGGGAGAGATCGACGCGCGGCGACCGACCGACAACCCGGTGCGAGACAACTTTCAGTACCAGGTCGTCGAGAGCTACATGTGCACCAAGTGTCATGAAACGGCGCTGAAGCGGCAAGAAAACATATGCTGGTTTGTCAGAGTGCCGCGCCGCCAGGGCACGGAGACGCCCACGCTGCAGGACGCACTGCGAATGTGCATGCGGCCTGACCGGCGCGAGCGGCTCTGTCAGCACTGCCAGCATGATGAGTGCCGCGTCACCACCAAAATCAGCCAGCTGCCCAGGACGCTGATACTACAGCTCAACCGGTACGTCTTCCTTGGGGGGGAATCGAAGAAAATCCGCGCCAATGTCGGCATTCCCAAGTTCCTTTCACTGAACGAATATGTCGCGGATGACGTCACCCGGCCTCCCGAGTGGAAGTGCAGGAAGCCTTCCCTGTGCACCCTCTCCGACTTCGAGGAGTCTGAGGCGCCCAGGTCGGGTCCGTCGCCGCCGCCCGCCGCCTGTGGACCGTCATCAGTGCCGACCGCCAGCGCCGGCCCGCCGGAGTCCGCCGCCGCCGGATCGCCGGTGTCGGCCGGAACCGCAGCGCCGGCGCGTCCCTCTTCACCGGCGACCGGTGCCGAGCCGCTGCCGCCGCCGCCGCCAGCGCAGGATGAGCTGGTGGTGCTGGACGCTGACTCCGAGTCCAAACCGGCGCGGACCCGCGAGGACGAAGATGGCGAGCTCCAGGAAGCCATCGTGAGGTCGCTGGGGAAGGGAGCGCCGGCCGACACCTCGGAGCAGGCACATCTCTCGGATTTCTGCGTGGAAGACGGCCAGTCTCTCTGCTCAGTGGACCTGGCCGGCGACTTTACCTACCGGCTGGTGGGCATCGTCAGCCACTACGGCGGCGCCACGCACTCCGGACACTACGTGTCGGACGTCTACAGCGTCGGCAGGGACCGTTGGTACCACTATAACGATAGCCGAGTCAGCTGTGTCGACGAGGCCGACATTATGGGCGAGGGACACCAGAGAAACGGCTACATATTCTTCTACCTCCACAAAGACCTATATAACCAAGTGGTCAGCGCAGAGGGAGCCGGCGGGGCGCTGTAACCGCCGCGCCAGGGAGCACAGGCTCTGAGCGGCACCGGCGGTTCGTATGGGTACATGTGGTTAATGTGTTTATGCATGTGAGCTTGTACTTTCTGTTAAATAGCACAATGAAAACTACCGACTCAAAAAAAAAAAAAAAAAAAAAACTTTGAGCCAGCGTCCTTTTGAAAAAAAAAAACGAACTATAGTTATCCACTTTCATGTGTGTAAAACACATGACATTATAAAAGCGCAGGCTACAAGACTTCATATCTCGTCTCGTGATCAAGCCCTGCCTCAAGTGGTCACATCAGCTCGATGCATAGATTTCTCTAAATATATATAGAAGTCTGTGCTCGATGAAAGAAAAATCGGATGCTCAGGCAGCTGAACTGCTCTGGGTTCGACCGACCCGCCGCGGTCGGCTGCATGCCTGCTGTGCATTATCAGAGGATGGTCTGGCGGCCGCTCCCGCCCTGCCGCCGCCCCCGCCAGTAATGACAAGCCTCGCTCCTGCAGCTGACTTCTCCCATCATCAGGCAACGCCACAGCGGAAGATTGATGCTTATTCAATGAACACAATTAATTGTGCTCCGCCGTCAGCTTTCCGGTAATCGGCGGTGATGGATCGTGAGCAGAAAATCGGATGCGTGCGCTGCCCACCCGAGCGCAATCCACGCAGGAAAGTGGACCAAGAGAGGGAGAACAAATCGACAAATGGAGGCAGTTGTCGATTTTTATCCACATTACCACACCATTTCATCATCCCGTCTCATGGAATACTCGGAATGTTCCATCATCGCCGAGCATACGGCTCATCACCGGCTAAATCCCTCGCACAGCAGTGATCCTTCATCCAGGGTGACTACGCGGTTGGAACAGGGTGTTATACTGGCGGTGCTACCCACGCCTTCTTCAGCTCTCCCTGCGACCCGAGCACCCAGTGCAAACAGCCCCCCCCCCCCGTCTTCCGCCCCGCGCCCTGTGACGAATCACGAATGGCGGCCAAACAGGAGATCGAGTGTCGTGTTTGTCGTGATCGCCGCGCCAAATCATGGCGCATATGCGCCGCCGGTGCCGCCGGTGCCGCAGGTCGGCTAGAGTGGCGCGCGGTGGTAGCGAGGGTTGGTTGTCGGAACCATCGGTAGGTGTTGCTGCGGTCGCTCACATGATAACAACACTATCATAATGATAATAGTTAGGTAAGGTAAATAGTGTGATTTTTAAGCCATTGATCAATAAACAGTCAGCTATATTTTATTGAGACTCGACATTACACATAGAAGGGTCGTAACCAAGGCAATAGAAACTACAGGTAGCGACAACACGCGTTTGACCTTGAATTCCGCCGGCCGGCGGGTGACGTCACTGGCGGCGAGCCACTCGGCGGCCCCGGCCGGCGACGTACTAAAACCGACTATTTCAAACCTCGTAATGGTAAAGTTTGTCTTAAAATGAGATGCATTTAAATGCATCACAAGGTAATATCATTACCTTCTGATATGCCACGACGGCTCTTATTCACGCATATACATACTAAATACGGTTCTGTCAACATCGATTACCTACTCCTGTCAACATCGACAGGCGCCGGCAGATGGAAGATTAAGAGCTCGTCGGCTGTGTACGCATCCAAGCTGTAAAACTGCTATTTCAGTTTAAACTCGCATGTTAAAAGTGGTATATTAACAACCGTCGTCGTCACCTGTGGCCATCTCGTCGACACATCCTACAGCGCCGCTATGGCGGCACACACTCGCTTTCCCGTGCTCCCTCCTAAGCCGCTGTAACAGCCACACACGCTGAAGCGGGGCTGGACCTTCACCGCGTGCACAAAGAACGAGCATCTTATCGGACGGACAATGCTAACAGCGGACAAGACTGCTAGTTATCACTTGTGACTTTATTCAAACTAGAGGTGGCAAAAGATGAAAAATTTGGGAACCAGACTCGAACCAGACCCGGCTGGACATTTCTGGAACCAGTCGGACCCGGTCTTAGTTGCAATCGGAACCAGTTGGACCCGTTCCCCAAAATTAATACAAACTACTTGTAGGTAGGTATCATTAGTTGCATCATGTAAAACAGCCTATTTCCCACTGGGAATACTCATGAGCTACTGTGTGCAAAGAAACATTCACTTCATTCACTTCATTTTTGCAATAATGTGTAATGTGCAAGATGTATAGTTTATGGTAGGACCCGGTTGGACCCGTCAGAAAATTTCCAGGAACCGGTCTGGACCCATATGGGTCCAGACTGGTTCTTTGGACCGGGTCCCCGGGTCCACATTTTGCCACCTCTAATTCAAACATGGTTCCGCCGGACGATTCCCGGCTCCCGGTCAGCGGAGAACACCGTGATCTGGGAGAAGTTTATCTCAAAGCTCTGCACGACGGACATCCACCAGACGGACGACACATACAGCTGGCCGCGGCTCACCACTTGAAGCCATCCTCTTGGGTCCGGGACAGATGCTAATGCTCTTTTCCATGTCAAGCCTTCGGCCGAAGTGCCTCGCTGAAAGCAGTGCCTGATTTCTGTACATACAGCTAGTAACATTCAAATACGCAAATTATTGAGCTTAGGAGTAGCTGCCGAAGACACTCCGACCACGAGCTTGATATGGAACGAAGTATAGGGCCTCTGCAGATGCATCGTCCATCCTAACACAGAGTCTGCGGTCAAAATGGCGGCATTTTTGAGCCACGAAGCCCGCAGCGAAAGCCATCGTATGGTAGGACATGTCGGCTTCCAGGCTGCTGGGCTCTGAGTGGGCGGCACCGCGGACCTCTGCACCAGCCACGCGCTGGAGATCCTCCTCCAGCTCCGCCAGCTCATCTGTGATCGGTCCAGCCGCGAAGGGCTCGTCGATCTGGAAAAGTTACACCAGCTGCGTTAGCAAATTTAACCCGCGCGGGGCTGGGGGGTAAATTTTACCCCCCCTCGCGAATTTTTGCGATATCTCAAAAACGGCGGCGCGCAGCGCCGCCAAACTTTCAGTACCTTTTCTTACATCAATTTGACACGTTCCCTGAAAATTTGAGCGAAATCCGTCGGAAAATTTTTGAGAAATTGACGTTTTAGTGACGTCATGTTCGCCATTTTCGCCTCAAAAACGGCAAAAGTTCAAACGCCGCTAACATCTTCATTTTTAAAGGAATCAAGACGTAACAAAAAGGTTATACGTAATTTTACTTTGTCTATCAAATGGCTATCTCGGTTTTTTGAAAATTTTGGATTTTGGCCTAAATTTTTTCAAAAAAACTGACTTTTTTGAGAAAATCATTATAAAATCCAAAATTTTGAGTCTATCAAAAAAAACGGAATATATGTCAGAGAAGTGGTCTATGTGCACCTACATACCAAATTTTAGAAGAATCGGTTCAAAAATGTGGGAGTTATTCAAAATTTTATGACGTCACGACACACAAAATTTTTGAAAAATGACTTTTTTGGAAGTTCTAGACCTCGTACGGAAACAAAAATAGCACCATTCGATTCGCCGTGAAAAAATGCATCAGATAGACACCTTTTTAGGCCTTAACAACCAACTTCAAAATTTGACCTCACTTGACCTGACCTTGACCTGACCTCGACCTGAAATTCATCCAGAGGTGGTCCATATCACTTATTGAGTGTGCCTATTGAATTCTATGAGTAAAATGACCCATAAAACATGTGTCCCACATGCCCTTTTCTATATTTTGTTTTTTGGTGACCTGACCTGACCTGACCTGACCTTGACCTTGACCTCTGAATGATATTGTATGCAACGAATATTGTCTTGGTAGCCTAAGAACACGTTTTGGGCGATCAGTCTCAGTCCATGACTCCATTCTTCGGCAACTAGGTACGGTGCAAGGCCGATACTGTAGAAACTTGCAATTTGTACCCTTGACCTGACCTTGACCTTGACCTCAAACTTTAAATTAAGTACATGTTTTTAGTAGTTCGTGATGAGAGCTTTCGATTGGCGTTTGAATTTTCCAAATCGGACCATTAGTTCGGGAGATAACAGACGGGGTAAAATTTACCCCCCCCCCCCCAGCCCCGCGCGTTCGGCTGGAGACCCCAGCCCCGCGCGGGTTAAGATAATTGACGCTGAGCGATACCTTGGGCATAGGAACTTGGCAACGAGCTGCGCAAGTTCAAAGTATGTTGCCATGGTTTGCAATGTCCGTTTCTTTTTAAATTAACTGAACTATTGTAGACAAGCTAGAGCAATGGCATGGCAATGAAGAATAAACAATCACCATAGAATGCAAACCAATTACGATTCGCAAAACATGATTCTAAAGAAATACAAAAAGTATATAATTCCAAAGGAAAAATACGAGGACCAGGAAAATCCCGTAACGTTTTTGATAATTCTTATAAATGATTAATGATTTGTATTTCTAATTTCAAGTATTATAATTTCTATAAATTGAAAATAACTTTTTAAATATTATAAATTGACAAGTATCATAAATGTAATATACCTATTCCAGACTCTACTGCTCGCTCAGCATTTATATTAATAAAAAAGCACCGCAAACGCTTACATTTACTAAGACATAAAAAAGCAACTTTCCCATATTAAATATTAAGGTTACTCACCTTCACATCGATGCCTCCGGCTTCTGCCGGCTTCCAGAACAGAGTCCGACAGTGTGATTGGGCATTGCCAAGATTCTTCAAAATGTTGATATTGATATTGGGCAATGCAACCTCTTTGTTTACATATTAGTAGATTTAATTTATGAATTAGTCCAAAGTTCAACCACTTCACAACCAAGTAACCACTTAAAATGATATCAACTCACAAATAAACCTCTAAAATCAACTGGCTGTATCAGCCCTATATGAGTGGCAGTGATGCCATCCACATTTTTGCTCCATCCCAAGATCTCGACCAGAATTTCCCAAGATTCTCGTCTCGAATCCCAAGACTACCCATCGCATATCCTTAGGAGTACCCCAAGTAAATCCATAGCTTATTTTGGACATGTTAGTGTGTTTAGTATTCAACTTTCTCT